ATTAGGATTTACTGGCTGAAGAATACTGAAGAGAATTATAATGATTTTTAGAGTTTTCATGACAAGTCCCACATGTATGAAGCAACCAGCAAAGACTTGGAGTTCCATGCAAAAAACTTCACAAATGCCATAGCATTTATTAGGAAGACCATAATTTATTTGTCTGAACAGTTTGTTCCACAAAGGACTACTCCTCTTCTTTAAATATCATGCTACAAAATATTCTATTAGAAACATAATCTTAGATGAATCATAATAAAATAATAACTACTTTCTATTATCTTTAAACACATCATCCTAAGACAGATACATTAAAGTAACCATTAACAACAGGACAACTGGTAAAAATCACAGGAACTGCCACTTCATTTCAATTCAGGTTTAATTTCCAACCTATTACACTCAGGTAAGAGATGAAGCTGCAGGACAGCTTACATGCTCTTACATGTACAATGACAGTCCAACAAGACTGCTGAAGAAACAACTGATTTTGGGGCATGACTTTTTTTTCTTCTTCTAGTTGTGTTGTCCATTGTAAAACCCAAGATGCATCGCTTCAAGAACTTCTCACATCTTTACTAGACAATAATCATTATTTGAGCAAACTAAAATGCTTTTCCAAGTCAGTGCCAACCTGTTGGCATTGCACCAGAACTCTTGCTAAAAAATTTACACGACAATAAGACTAAAAATAAAATGGAAGAGAAATTTTACAATTTGTGTCAGCAGTTAGCTGTAGTGTAGTCCTAATAATACTTTCACCTAAACTAATCTGGACAGACTGAACACACCTTTCTGTTTCACTTGTTGGGTGAGGTTTTATGTTTCTTTTTCTAAGGCAAAATATCCTCAAATTGTGTCTACTGCTCACCACATTGACTAGCAAAAGAAAATTTCCTGTTGTTTCCAATTAATACCCAACTTATGAAAGATATCATGCAAAATAGAGATAAGAACTCCATCACAAATGGCTTTCCTAGACTAAGAATTATGCCACCAGATAACACTGCAAAAGAGGGAAACTTAAATCCTAGAGATAATTCTATTTTCAACTGAAATTTATAAAGAAATGAGGATTCAGCTAAAGAAGTTCTGTTCTACATGAAAAGATATAAAAAGCAGCTCTACTGTATACCAGCTGTGTAGAGGGACAAATCAAAGGTTTCAACTAAATCAAAAGGGACTGAGATAGAAAGGTCCAGAAAACCAGGTATTTTACATAATCTAACGTTGAGATGTATAAACGTGAAGCCAGAAGGACTGTTTGAAATGTGTTTGGTTACATCTCCACACATAGAGGTAATCAGAGCAGCAAGCCACCTAAGTTTAGAAGTGATGAAACGATAAAAAGAGATGAACTGGAATGAAAAGCATCACAACATCTAAGAAAAAGTCAGAAAAAGAACAGCTTAAGAAGAGATGAAGTTGATCAGCACTGCCTGTATTCCATACAAAACAGAGAGGGTGGCCATGAAGTCGCATACACTGATGGCCTTCCTGTATTTACAGATCACACATATAGGAAACAAAAGAAACACACTTTAGTCCCACCTATACTAGCTCTCCTAATATTAATTCACTTTTGCCCAAGACCAACTACAAGATACTGCTCTAATTTAGAAAAAAGATTATTGGGGTATCACCTAGTACTGCCAAGAAGGAAGATGGAACATAACATGGTCCCATCTACACAGAAAAGCTAGAGGACTGCAATACAGATAGGGCAACTGTGACTCACAGTACAAGTGGTAAAACTGGCCGTGTACTGGGACACAGAGTCCTCCAGCCCAGGCATAACGACACAGCTCCCTGATTCAGCTCACACAAAGACCTGCTTTGATGCACATGCTTGAAGGGAGGGGAGTGGAATGGTGCATATACACATTGGGTACTCTCAGGATTTCCTTGCTTTTAACAGTTTAATACTTATATCAATTATTTTTCTCTTTTTAAATCTGACTTTATATAAACACGGATTACATACAGTGTCAAGGTGCAAAGCTCAGCATTACTATCAATTCTTTTAACGAGTCAAGTACATTAGAAGACAAGGTTTACTCAAACTTTATCATTGCTTTTCTTCATTTATGTCATGAGTTAGACAGTTGAACAATTCCTTCAAGGCACCACTAGGTTTTCTACCAATCTCATGTAAGTAGTTAATATTATGGTCATATTAACTCCACATACAGAGTCAAGTAACAGCACAACTCCAAAATTAAGTTCATCAGTTAAGGTTTAACAAGAGGGACTGGATTTGTTCCCACCACAACACAAGTCACGGGGTACACCTTGAAAGTGTTATTTTTTGTCATACTATTCCCAAGGTTCGAAGCTCATGTCTTGGGGAAAACAATATACTAGCAAGAGCATTCTTTTACTGTGAACTTCAAATGAGACTTGGATACTTAAGGGTTTATGCACAGACTTGTAATCTCCTGCTAGTAGCATGTCTTCAGCACAGAACAACTCTTACTCTTCTAAGTAAAGAAAACCAGTCTCACCTACACCACTCAGCAACTGATGAAATACGACAAACAGCACTACTGTCACCTTTCAGAATTTTAGCATCAAGCCTTCAACTCTGTTTTTCTTCTCTCTTCTGACACAGATTTGTTTCTGATGAGATTCTCCCCACCCTCAATTTGAGGCAGCAGGGTCTTGGTCTACAACTTGGAGATAATATTGGAAAGCATTACAGGTAATTCTTGGTTTTGGTAACAGGAAAGTAAGTTCAGAACAAGCCAACTCAGAACTAAGTACAGGATATTGCCAACTACTGGAGCCCACATGTTAACAAAAGTTGCAGGCTACTGCTTTAACATATTTGTCCTGCTTGGTAACACTACTGCATCCAGAAAAGCATTTACTTTTTTCCATAGCTCTTTAAAAAGCCAGCTTCAGGAAATTCAATATTAGCCTCGGTAGTGATAAGCAACATCCCTGCTAATTAGGACCAAAGAAACCATTCTTGGTATTTGGTCCTTCAGTCATTTTCTCAACACTTTGAAATAGTGACCCTCACAATATTAACAAAAATCTGTCAACAACCCCAGATCAAGTCTTATAGAATTATAGAAAATATTGTTTCAAAGCCAAGGCAAGAAAGAATGACTGAAGAATTTCAGAAAAAGAAGAGGACTCAAAGACAATACAGAACAAGTTTACTTTTTTTCATAAAATGGATGACATTTCAAACTGACAGTCTCTTGAAACATCTTCAGACTTTCAGTTTCTCATACTTCTAGAGCTTAACCATCTCCTCCTAAAGTCAACGGCAACATAAGCATTCATGCCAAACAGTAATCAGAGTGATTACACTTCCTAGTCGATATAAAAATGCAGCTGCAGCTCATGCTGTTTCAACAATTTTCTTATACAACAGAACATACGGGGACACTGGTCACATGTGGTTTTTTAGTGTATTCTGCTTGCAACATTTTAACTTCTGAAAAGCAGTTTTACAAGATAAAGTAAATCAACAATAAAACCAGACTACCGTACTTCTAATCTTACATACAGATTTCAATTCCACAAGAGATCTTCTCCTGGTCTGCACAGAGTCTCACTGGAAGTATACACATATCGGACTCACCTGTGCAGACTATTTTCCAGGACAAGAGCCAAAATCCGCAAGCCTACATCATAATCATCTCGCTGAAGTTGCAGTAAAGCTTCCTGCTTTCAAACCTAGAAGGGCAAGCAGCTTTTGCAAATACCACCTCCAAAAACAAGGACACATACTCTACCGCAACACTGTGGCCGGCTCTAAAAAATAACCTTCATACTGGCGTAACAGTTGCTGGGTTTTGTTATCTAATTATTTAACCGTAAAGTGAAATCAACATACGACCAACGAAACAGGACAACCTAATTAATAACGTGGAGAAGAAACCTGGCAAGAAACAAAGAGACTACGAGCCAGCACAGGAGACAGAGCTACCCGCTCGGGAGGTCCTGACTTAGAAGACGCTGCTAAGGCAGGACTTTCCCCCCCCCGCCCCGGACCTCATGCCACTTCGCCCCTCTCCTCCCTGCGGAACCCGAGCCTCACCCACAGACCTGCA